TCAAACAAACCTTTCTGAATTTCAAGAGTCAAATAGACCACAGTACAATAATACTGGGTGATTTTTTTTTTTAAGAGAGAGTGAGAGACAGAGAGAGAGAGAGAGAATTTTTTTTTTAATATTTATTTTTTAGTTCTCGGCGGGCACAACATCTTTGTATGTGGTGCTGAGGATTGAACCCGGGCCGCACGCATGCCAGGTGAGCGCGCTACCACTTGAGCCACATCCCCAGCCCCTGGGTGATTTTAAAACACCTCTCTCACTACTGCACAGATCTTCCAAACAAAAACTAAATAAAACTACAGAACTAAATAATACAATCAATAATTTAGACTAACAGACATATATAATATTTCATCCATCAATGAGCAAAAATACTTTCTTCTCAGCAGCACATGGCTCCTTCTCTAAAATAGACTATATCTTATGCCACAAAGCAACTCTTAGTAAATACAAAAAAAACAGATATACTACCCTGCATTCTATCAGACCACAATGGAATGAAATTAGAAGTCAATGATAAAATAAAAAAGAGAAACTACTAACAAATGGAGACTAATACACAAATGAATGATGAATGGATAGTAGAAAAAAATCAAGGATGAAATTTAAAAAAATTCTTAAAATGAGAACTCCAGTACAACATATCAAAATCTCTGGGACCCTATGAAGGTAGTACAAAGAGGAAAGTTTATTGTATTGAGTACATTCATTAAAAGAATAAAAACAATCAAATAAATAGCCTAACCCTAAATCTCTAAGCCCTAGAAAAAGAACAAATCAACACCAAAAGCAGAAGACATGAGATAATTAAAATCAGAGCTAAAATTAATGAAATTGAAACAAAGAAACAATTGAAAAAAAATTGACAAAACATAAAGTTTGTTCTTTGAAAAAATAAATGAAATAGCTAACCCCCTGACCATGCTAGTGGAGAGAAAACTCAAAATTACTAAAATGCAAGATGAAGAAGAAATATCACAATGGACACGTCTGAAATACAGAAGATATTATAAACTATTTTGAGAATTGATACTCTAATAAAATAGAAAATATCAAAGACATCAACAAATTTCTAGAGACATATGACCTCAAACTTTAAACAAATCAATTTCAAATAATGTAATAGAAAATGCCATCAAAAACCTACCAATAAAGAAAATCCCAGGACCAGGTGAATTCTCAGTCAAGTTCTACAATACTTTCAAAGAAGAATTAACACCAATACTTCTCAAAGTATTCCATGAAATAGAATTGGAGGGAATTCTTCCAAACTCATTTCTATGATGCTAATATCACCCTGATACCAAAACCATACAAAGACACATCAAGGAAATAAAACTTTAGACCAATATCCCTGATTGAACATAGATGCAAAAATTCTCAATAAAATTATGGCAAATTGCATACAAAAACACATTAAAAAGATAGTGCACCATGATCAAGTGGAATTCATCTCAAGGATGCAGGGTTGGTTCAATATACAGAAATCAATAAATGTAATTCATCATATTAATAGACTTAAAAACAAGAATCATATGATCATCTCAATAGATGCAGAAAAAGCATTTGACAAAATACAGTACACCTTCATGTTCAAAACACTGGAAAAACTAGGGATAGTAGGAACATACCTCAACATTGTAAAAGCTGTATATGCTAAACCCAAGGCCAGCATCATTCTAAATGGAGAAAAATTGAAAGAATTCTCACTAAAAATGAACAAGACAAGGATGTCCTCTTTTACCACTTCTATTCAACATCATCCTTGAAACTCTAGCCAGAGCAATTAGACAAAAGAAATAAATTAAAGAGACACACATAGGTAAAGAAGAACTCAAACTATCACTATTTGCTGATTATATATCTAGAAGATCCAAAAAATTCCACCAGAAAGCTTCTAGAACTAATAAATGAATTCAGCAAAGTAGCTGGATATAAAATCAACACCCATAAATAAAATACATTCCTATACATCTATGATGAGTCCACTGAAAGAGAAATTAGGAAAACTACTCCATTCACAATAGCCTCAAAAAAATAAAATACCTGGGATTCAATCTAATAAAAGAGGTGAAAGACCTCTACAATGAAAACTACAGAACACTAAAGAAAGAAATTGAAGAAAACCTCAGAAGATGGAAAGATCTCCTAGACTCCTGGATAGGCAGAATTAATATTGTCAAAATGACCATACTACCAAAAATGTTATACAGATTTAATGCAATTCCTATGAAAATCCCCATGACATTCTTCATAGAAATAGAAAAAGCAACCGTGAAATCTACTTGGAAAAATAAGAAACTCAGAATAGCTAAAGCAATCCTTAGCAAGAAAAGTGAAACAGGAGGCATCACAATACCAGACCTTAGACTATACTACAGAGCTAGAGTAACAAAAATGGCATGGTGTTGGCACCAAAATAGACTTGTAGATCAATGACACAGAATAGAGGGCACAGAGATAAACCCACATAAATACAGTTATCTCATACTAGACAAGGGTGCCAAAAACATTCACTGGAGAAAAGATAGCCTATTCAACAAATGGTGCTGGAAAAACTGGAAGTTCCTATGTAGTAAACTGAAATTAAACTCTACCTCTCACTCTGCACAAAAATCGACTCAAAGTGGATCAAAGACTTAGGCACGAGAACAGAGACCCTGTACCTAATAGAAGTAAAAACAGGCCCAAATCTTCACCACATTGGCTTAGGATCTGACTTCCTTAACAAGACTCCTAAGCGCAAGAAGTAAAATCAAGAATCAATAAAAAATGGGGTGGATTCAAATTAAAAAGCTTCTTCTCATCAAAGGAAACAGTTAATAACATGAGGAGAGAGCCTAAAGATTGGGAGAAAATCTTTACCACATACACCTTCGATAAAGCATTAATCTCTAGGATATATTAAGATATTAAGAACTCAAAAAACTTAACACCAAAAAGAACACCGCAAAACCAAAAAATAAATAACCCAATCAATAAATGGGCTAAGGAACTAAACAGACACTTCACAGAAGAAGAAATACAGTTGATTGTGGGAGGCCATCCTCGAAAGTGATTTGAGTTACCTCCCTGGCTGGTTGAGAAGTGCTTTAGGCACAACTGTGTCAGAGCTTTCCCCACCCTTCTCCAGGTCTGAGGGCTTGTCCATGTGGAGGCATGTCTGGCCACTACCCCGAAGACCCAATCGTTGCCCCTGACCTTGAGATGCTGCCCTTGAAATGGATGTGGCTCAAGCAGTTGTGCACTCGCCTGGCATGCATGCGGCCCGGATTCGATCCTCAGCACCACATACAAACAAAGAAGTTGTGTAAAAAAAATAAAACTCCCTAGTGGTTTCTCACGTCTTCAACTTCTTTCATGAAGCCGGTGCGGGTCGTGGGCTAAAGTTGATCAACAAATATATGAAAAAGTGTTCAACATCTCTAGCAATTAGAGGAATGCAAATCAAAACTACTCACTTCTTTCAGAATGGCAATCATTAAGAATATAGGCAACAATAAATGTTGGTGAGAATGTGGTAAAAAAGGTAAACTCATACATTGCTGGTGGGACTGCAAATTGGTGCAACCAATATGGAAAGCAGTATGGAGATTCCTCAGAAAATTGGGAATGGAACCACCATTTGACCCAACTCTCCCACTCCTTGGTTTATACCCAAAGGACTTAAAATAAGCATTCTATAGTGATGCAGCCACATCAATGTTTATAGCAGCTCAATTCACAAAAGCTAGACTATGGAATCAACACCTGTGGAATCAACCTAGGTGTCCCTCAATAGATGAATGGATAAAGAAAAATGTGGTATATATACTCAATGGAATATTACTCAGCTTTAAAGAAGAGTGAAATTATGGCATTTGCCAGTAAATGGTTGGAGTTGGAGAATATCATGCAAGTAAAATAAACCAATCCCACAAAACCAAAGGCTGAATGTTTTCTCTAATATGCAGATGCTAATTCACAATAAGGTGGGGACACTAGGGAAGAATAGCATTACCTTAGATTAGGTAGAGGGAAGTGATGGGAGGGTAGGGTATGAGATGTGGGGAAGGAGAGATAGTAGAATGAAGCAGACATTATTACTGTATGTATATATGTGACCACATGACCAATATGATTCTGCAACATGTACACTCAGAAAAATGAGAAATTATACCCCATCTATGTATGATATATTAAAGTGCATAAATGCATTCAATTGTCATGTATAACTAATTAAAACAAATTTTAAAAAATCCCTACTGAAATTCACAACTCCACTGCAGCAGCACTGGCCAAGAGAACCGTGATGCCAGCCACAGAGGTCATTTTAAATTTTCTAGTAGCCACACCAAGAAAGATGAAATCAAGTTTAGTAGTAATGTATTTTATTCAATTCAATATATTTAAAATATTATCATGTGAGCTAATTATCCATATAAATATTTTACTGAGAATATATATATATATATATATATATATATATATATATATTTTATCCATTCATCTTTTGAAGTGCATCTAGTTTGGTTCCATAGTTTAGCTATTGTGAATTGCTGCTATAAACCTTGATGTGGCTGTGTCACTGTAGTATGCTGATTTTAAGTCCTTTGGGTACAAATCAAGGAGTTGGAGAGTTGGGTCAAATGGTGGTTCCTTTTCAAGTTTTCTGAGTTATCTCTATACTACTTTCCAGAGTGTTTGCACCAATTTGAAGTCCCACCAGCAATGAATGAGTGTGTCTTTTCCTCCACATCCTTGCCAACACTTATTTATTATTGCTTGTATTCTTGATAATTGCCATTCTGGTTGGAGTGAGATGAAATCTTAGACCAGTTTTAATTTGCATTTCTCTAATTGCTAGAGATGATGAACATATTAGCTCATAATTATTACAGTGAAAAATAGATTGAGTTTCTCTGTGTTAGGGTGTTAGGAAGATTTGTAGGTCTGTGAGATCAGACTCAATTTGACTCAGGACAAACCTGTGACTCTGGAGTCCTTTGATGATAGTTATTATTAGGTACTCTCACATAATAACCCTTCTATGTAGTCTCCAGCTTTACTTATTTTCGGTGGGGCTGATAAAAGTGTACATCTTTAGTTGCATTTAAAATTTTTTTCTTTTTTTCTAAATGTTCATGTATGGCCCTGCTTTGGCTATGGCTCAGTTTTGACTGACCTTGTTCTATCTACTATTAAGAGTCAGCTAAGACTCCTTAGAGATCACTCTTGGGAACATGTGTGAAGCCTCTTGACTTCTTTTGTCTTCCTCTACCAATTGTGCCATCTGCTAGCATGGATCAGCATCTTGCTGACTACATGTGGCTTCCCTTAGAAGCATTAGGGACATTTCCCTCTCCAGTCACTTTCCTCTTTGCAGAATGTGCACTGGTTGGCTTCCTGTTTTCTAGGGTCGTCTTGATCTTCTTGATGAGCAGATTGGGTGACTCACCGGACTTGTAGGACACAGAAAGGGTTCCTGTCTTTCCTTGGATTGTGGCTGACCCTAGAGGGCAAGGGCCAAATATTGGCTGCTTTTCTTCTTGGCCCTTTTACTTCCCTTGAATTTAGTCTCAAAGTTTTTGGTGTAGGCCAGTTTCACCAGTATTAAAGTGGGAGTAATGGGTTTTAATTTTACAGTATTTAATTGGGGTCAGTATTAGCACTGGAAGTCAGCCTTATATTCTGTGTGTCTTACAGATGATGACTTATTATTTCCAATTAACTCAGGTTGTTCTATTAGAAGGAGTACCTCTATTCCAGTGGATTGGGTTTCTCTGGAGGCTCAGCTTCTTCTGCCTTTGCTCAAGACACCGCAGCCCCGGGCATGGATGGAAGTTTTAGAGCTGCGTGGCATTTATTCTTTCTGCTGCAAAGGCCTTGTCCAGCAGGCCAGGCCCCAGGGTGCCCCCATGTCGGGGCAGCGGGTGGAGGTCGACGGTGGGATCATGGAAGGTTACGGCCAGATCCTTAGGGTCTCCACCACCCTCAGCTGTGTCCTGGGCCTCCCCTTTCGGGTGCAGAAAATCCAGGCGGGCCACAGCACGCAGGGCCTGAGTATTATGACCGGAAGGCCTCAACATTTATCTGGACTGGAAATGATTGGAGATTTGTGTGATGGGCAACTGGAGGGGGCAGAAATTGTTTTAACTGAAGTAACCTTCACACCAGAGAAGATCAAAGGTGGAATCCATATAGCAGATACCAAGACAGCAGGGAGTGTGTGCCTCTTGATGCAGGCTTCAATGCCATGTGTTCTGTTTACTGCTTCTCCATCAGTACTTGGTTTGAAAGGTGGAACTAATGCTGAAATGGCACCACAGATGGACTACACCATGATGGTCTTCAAGCCAATTGTTGAAAAATTTGGTTTTAATTTTAATTGTGACATCAAAATGAGGGGCTGTTATCCTAAAGGTGGTGGTGAAGTGATTGTTCGAATGTCACCAGTTACACAGTTGAACCCAATAAATTTAACTGATTGTGGCTCTGTGACTAAGATATATGGAAGAGCTTTTGTTGCTGGTGTTCTGCCATTTAAAGTAGCAAAAGATACAGCGGCAGCGGCTGTGAGATGCATCCATCAGAAAGGAGATCAGAGATCTATATGTTAACATCCAGCCTGTTCAGGAACCCAAAGACCAAGCATTTGGCAATGGAAATGGAATAATAATTATTGCTGAGACATCCACAGGCTGTTTGTTTGCTGGATCATTGCTTGGGAAATGAGGTGTAAATGCATACAAGGTTGGAATTGATGCTGCTGAAATGCTGTTAGCTAATCTTAGACATAGTGGAACTGTGGATGAGTTTCTGCAAGACCAGCTGATTATTTTCATGGCATTAGCCAATGGAGTTTCCAGAATAAAAACAGGGCCAGTTACACTCCATACACAAACTGCTATACATTTTGCTGAACAACTAGCAAAGGTTAAATTTACTGTGAAGAAATCAGAAGATGAAGATTACTCTAAAGACACTTATATTATTGAATTCCAAGGAATTGGAATGAGAAATCCAAATCTATAGGGTATTTACCTCTTAAATGATACCCCAGTGATGTATTGCACTAACTTATTTCATGTATACTACAAAACATCGAATATTATTAAAGGGCCTGTCTAAATTTGGATATGAAATATATTCTAGATTTACTGAGAATGCTTCATCAAATTAATCTTACTTTAAATATCTCCTGAGATATGGGCAATAAAATGTAAGAATTGATGGATATGTATGATAGTCAATTTCAATATTAAATTATTAAAATATTCTTTATACCTGAAAAAAAGGAGTACCTCTGCAAAACACCAACAGGTAACAGTTATACAGTTTACAAGAAAAATATAAAATAAAATTCATAATAGCAAAAACATATTCAGTTTGTATAATAGCTATGATCCAAGAAACATAATTTTCATAATCCCAAACCTCACTTAATTATATATTATGTCCCCTGTTTATTTCAAGACCACAGTAGTCTTTACAATAAAAAATTATCCTTTGAACATAACTTTAAATGAATATAAGTCTAGCCTATTTTGGAACCATTCTAACATGAAGTAAGGTGAGAGGCAGAGTCCTAACTATGATGAGGTGGGGTTCTTGATAAATCTTAGATAAAGTTTATTGTATTTCTTAGATAAAGTTTATTTTATTTCTGAAGCTGATCTTTGCCTCTTTCTTAAATAGCATTTTACAAAAAAAGTTCTCACATATTGGTTTCTGAGTCTATATGAACATCTATTAACAAAATACAATATTACATCTGAGACAGGAATCAAACAAGCTCCTAACCCCCCCTTTTTTTGGGGGGGGGAGAGTGGCAAAATGTTTTCATTTTTCACAATGTTAATCTTTAAACAGATTGGACTCTCATCATTCAAAAATACATTCAATTTTCCACCCAGTATAAAAAGTAACACAAAATTTTATATACATCTTGTTGATAACAGGTTACTTTTATCCAGTTATAGAACATTAAATGACATAAGTAGCCAATTAAATTGGCTATTTCCATAAATCCAAAATTGCCATTACAGACAACTTTAGTTTGGAGGGAGGAACTGATGTGACTCCATTTTTGAGAAACTAGCATCTACCTCAGAGCAAAGCCTGTCCAAGGAAGGGGGTGTGACCCTTGTCCTTGGAAAAAACCCACAGAGCACTCCTAAGCACATACCCACCCTGATGAGTTGTTTGTCTACAGATAACAGGAGAGATCTGTGGCGCCAGGTGTCCCTGACTCAGTTAGGCTAGATGAGGATCCATAACAACCCCCTAGCAACCACCAATCACCATGAAACAGGGAAAATACCTGGGATGCCAGATGACCCTCCACTAGTTTATGGTGGTTAATAACATGTTGGGAAACCATGTAGTTTAGCACATACACCCCTCATGGCTTAAACCAATCAGTTCAAAGGAATCCCCCTCTTGTACTAACCAATCATCCCTACCCAACTTGTTCCCGCCAGTGAATGTTAAGAGTTGTTGTTTGATTTTCCCGTGGTATGGAATGATTTGCTGTGTGATGTTGTGACGTATAGAGTATCCCCCCAAACCTATAAAATCTCACTGAACAAAGTGTTCTCCTAAGCTTTATATTTTAAAACTTGGATACTAGGAGGACATGAATATATTTAATACATGAAGAAGTAATAGCGTCACAACTGCACAAATGTCCTTATATTAACTAGGTTTAATTTTCATAGCAAAATTCAGAATCCACAGATAATTACAGGTTTATATGTTGTAGGGACAAATGAGGCAAGGCACTGAAGACAGCAGGAAACAGTTTTATTTGGCTGCAGCCAGGTTCAGAGGGTACAGCCTTTGCTGTAATCAATCAATCCCCTGAATCCCGAGTTCAGGGAGTTTCAGAGTAAGGGGAGGGGCTCAGAAGTTCACAACCTGCAGAAGTTCACATAAAAGCAGCTTTTTCTTTCACTGTTCTGAGCAAGTTAACTCTTCAAGGACAACACCTGAGAAGGGGAGAGCTTCATCTCCCCTTTCTTTCCTCCCCCTGCCAGCTGTTACCATGGGCCCATTTGTAACTTATCTTAAAAATGTACACATCTCTGTGAAGCCCAGCTCAAGGCCAGAGGCCTTGTTTGCACATTTCAACAAAGTACTATACTGGATACATTTGTGAAAAATTAGTAGGGGGTGTCCAGCACCTGGAACGCTGGTATCTTCCCGGCCAGTGGCCAAGTAAAACAGGGCAACACAAAGATAGGAAGTTTATTTACATTGGACTCTTTCTCAGAGTCTCTTTTGCTGATAATCCTAAAATCAGCCATGGTGAAGAGGGCTTTTCTGTGGAGAAAGGGGGTGTCACTTTATACAGAGTTTAGCAGTACTAGCAAAAATCAAGGATAACCTTAAACCTCTTATACATTTAGAGAACAGTGTTAATGATCAGATGTAGACTTAGTCAAAGCAGACATGTATAAACCATTTTTTTCAAATGGCAGTGTGGCCCTTTTATGCCAGATGCAATGTAAAAAATAGAGCACTTGTTGGTTAAACCTACATGAACTTTCATTTATAATCTTACAGAACATTTAGATAGGGCTCACACAAACCTATTTAGTTTCAGATGCATAGATATTTTGAGTCACATATATTTAGGTTATTCATGAAAGTCAAGCCTGGTTAAAATTGGAAGTCATCAGTTTCTCTGACAAAGGAAAATTCTAAAAGCAATGAACATTACAGTTGAAATATTTTTTAATCTCTCAAGACTTGCAGAAACTGGTACTCATCGGTATGAGGGTTTTGTTTGTTTTTTTAACAGGCAGAATAGGCCTATTGTAGGGTATCAGGCAAAACTGACTCAATTCACATTTTAAAAATTTGTCGGGAAGAGAATGATTCCCCATTAATGCCTCTCTCTTAAGAGGTGATCCCCGACCCCTGCAAGTTTTTTTCTCCTAAAACAGAATCTTAGTTCAGATAATATTGATCAATTTTCTCAGGGTCCCTTTCTCAGGACAAAAAGAGCTTACTTAGTTTTAGCAGACCTATAGACCTTTTTCTTTTCCTGGGAGGCACTTACAAATGAAGTTGTTGCCTTTGGAGTAAGACTGTTATCTATACATTGAATTTACATAACAAATTTTATCTTAGGAGAGGGATCAGGACAATCTGGCATATACAAAAAACTGTGACTTTATCTTATTTTCCCCCTAGTTTGAATTCAAGGGGTTGGAGCACAGGATATCATTGACTAGTCTCCCTCATCACCATCATAATGTATCACCTTTAAGCTTTAAGTAGGTTCCCCATTGTCAATTATACCCTGAGATATTCCTGCCCCCATTTCCTTATGTCACACCTACACACACACACACACACACAGACACACACATCTTGAAGGTCACATTGATCATACAAAGAAGATTGTTAGGGACCTCTCTCTAGAGAAATCATCAGGGCCATATATGGGGACTCTGGGAGGTCCTTGTATTTAGATCTGTGGGCAAAAGGCAGGGTTTCACCCAGAAGAGTCCCATGGTCAAATAGGGCATCCTGTCAGTTCTAAAAATGGGAGACTATTTTGTCCCCAGGTTATAATTTAAGAACACTGGAGCCCATTGCTATGTTCTTTGTGACTGGCTGCTTCCACCCGGAGCCCCCTGAGATAAGCTAGTTGACCATCAGACAATGAGTGTAATGGACCCCAAATAAGGTTTTTTCAAATGTGAAAGCAACTCTGTGAGGCTAATTAAAAGAGGTGTTGATTTTTTTTCATATATTTGTTAACCATTCATATTTCTTCTTCTGCCAAGTGCCTGTTCAGTTCCTTTGCCCATTTATTGATTGGGTTATTTATTTTTTTGGTGTTAAGTGTTCTGAGTTTTTATATCCTGGAGATTAATGCTCTATCCGAGGTACAGGTGGCAAAGATTTTATCCATTCTGTAGGCTCTTCACATTCTTGATTGTGTCCTTTGCTGTGAAGAAGATTTTTAGTTTGAGACCATCCCATTTATTGATTGATTCTTGATTTTACTTCTGAGCTTTAGGAGTCTTGTTGAGGAATTTGGTTCCTAAGCCACCTCAGTCCCTCCCTTTACTCTCAGGAATGGCTCCTCTGTTTCCACCTGAGGCATAATCAAACTTGCCCATCCCCTAACTCTCTGGTAGTCAGCTCTCAACAAATTTACCATACATCTTCAGCATGGAAGTGGGTTGCTTAGAGTGCCAGGCCTTTTCCAAAAGAAAGCTGGAGCAGGGACTGTTCCTGGTTCCTATCTGGCATGCTCATTTTGTTACCGAAAGCTCATCCTTTTCTCAGATGCCAATCCAATAATAAGGACACGGTTTTAAGAAAAAGTAAAAAGAAGACTTATTGCTTTGTTAGCAAAGGAGAAGAACGGGCTAAGATTCTGCCCATCAGGGAAAACAGAGGGCTTTTATTTTTTTAAATATTCCTTTTTTTTAGTTGTAGATGGACACAGTACCTTTATTTTATTTGTTTTTATTTTTATGTGGTTCCAGGGATCAAACTCAGCCTCATGCTAGGCAACTACTGTACCATTGAGCCACAGCCCTGGCCCCAACAGAGGGCTTTTAAAGAAACTCTTCAGAGGCTATATCCAGGTTACCCTGAGAGAGGATTCCAGGTGTTCCCTAATGGTGTGTTGAAATTTACTCATTCATTTGGGAGATAGTCACTTCCCAGATCTTCAGGTGACATCTCCTTCCTGTGGCAATTATATGCTCAAGGACAGATAATTCAAGGTGATCTTATGCGACACCCTCAGGTTAGGGAGTGGGAGAGAAAGAAGAGGAAAAGAAAAACACGTGTCTCTTAAAATAAGCAGGAAGGGCTATATGCAAAAGGTGACGTAGACCCCTGTTACAGTGTGGCACTGTTCAAGATGGCCGACAGCAGAATCCTGGCAGCACTTTCTTGTTCTTATTTTCCCCTCCACTTCATTTGTCCCTACTCAGTCCTCTTCCCACTCTTTCCCTCCAAGGACCCTCTGTTTTCAATCACTTTATTTCATTTATTGATTTGCTTACCACCCCAGCATCTTCCCTTTAGAGCTCACCCCATACTTTCTGTCCTTTGAGTCTTCTGGATTCATTCCCTAAGTGTTCTTCCTTTGTTCCTTTGCCTTCCCATGAGAATCAGTTTCCCAGTTTGAATGCAAATTTCTTAGCCATCCTGCTCAATATTATTTGGCCCTGGCACTAATTTCATACGATGATGATAA